ATACAGTTTGAATAGCTCAAACTGAATATCTGCAGTAGGGTGTTCAATCAAATTACAGAGGTAAAGTGTATTCATGGAATATATTCAAATAACAAATCTGAGGGACGAGCCAACTTGCATGTAGTCTGTAGGCAAAAATAGATGTCTTTGATCAAATACACGGTTTTCTATTTTTTCCCAAACAGTTTCTGTTTTTCTGCTAAACTGATTTATTTATTTTTATTGCCTCTCTGTCCACCTTGCAGTTCCCAGCCCATTTAGCTTTTTTTGCTCCATCAGTTGACACTAAGATTACTAGCTGTCTTGGACAGAAATGGTCTTTGTTACTTGCCTATACAGTGTCTAGTACAGTGGGAACCCACTTATTAACTGGGGTTCTCAAGCACTACCTGAAGGATAATCTTTTGATCAGAAAATGTTCAAGTCAGACCAACTTGTAGTAAGATTCACCTAGATTTTTTTTTTTAATTTCCCTTTCCATATCAGACTATTGAACCAGGCCAGCTCAAATTGCATTCAAAATTTGTGAAGAACAATTCTGCCAGCACAGCTGAGGTTGACGGTTTATGCTATGAAACGGCCTAGAATGCGTGGGCAAAACATGCAGAGGTGCACTAGCAACAGGGAAAAACGGAAACACCTCATTTTCCAAATGGCTTGAGAAGCCAATTAACATGAAGGCCCCTGCACAAGCCCTGAGCCGTACTTCATGGAGAACAGGGCCTGCTCATCTTAGAATCAAGAGTACTTCTGTTCCACAGATTACCAGGGTTAATTGTACTCTAGTAGGCAACACCCTTTAGGGAGCAAGTACATAGCTATTTAAAAGAACATACAATGCAGGGATGGGCAAAGTTTGGCCCAAAAGCCAGACAGGGCCCACAGCAGACTCCATTTCCCAGCAGCCCCTGCCTGCATCGCTGCAGCCAGTTTCCATGGAGAGCCAGCAATTGTAATTAATTGGCCTTGCATCACAAGTTTTAATTTAAGGGCTTTAAGGAATATTTTCCTGTTATTTATTACCGTATATCTGGGAAATACTCTTTATTTTTTTTTACAAATAATGGGTATTTGTTAAAAAAATAATATCCCAGGTGATAAGTTTCTGATACTGTAAGTGTTAAGTTTTTGCAAGGACTCGGTCATGATCATCTCTTTTTCAGAGAATAGTGGTAAGAGATCATGGCATCAGCCCAGACAATTTCTGTTGTGTAGTCAGATTCTTCCAGCTAATTAAAAAAATATATATTTATTTTGCCATCATTTGTTTTGAACTTGATTTTTTGTTAAGTGGTTTGACTCCCTGACCACTAATCCCAGGACTAGGAAACGCTGTTGTGTAAATCTTCAGGGAGACGTTGAAGTAACTGGTAAAGTAATAAATCATGACTGCTAATCATCACCATGCACAGCTTTTCATTTTCAATACATAACGAAGAGTCTTCTCATTGTTTGGACAGGAAAAACGAAAAGTTAATATTTCTATGCTGTTACTACAACGGTGAAATCACTAAAGAAAAATATTTTCTTCCTCCATCTAGTTAATAAGGTCAGCCAGTATCTATGCAAAAAGATTGTTAGGCATGTCACCACAGCTCTGCAAATACAAAACCAATCACTACATCATAACAAAAGCAATTCTTCAACTTGGGATAATACTTTTCTAAAACAGCTGTGAACAACCAAGAGAAAACATCATTCTAGGACATTCTGGGAAAACATCACTTAGGTTTTCTTATGAGGGACTCACTTTCAGCTTAAGCTACTATCAAGATATATTTTAAAAATAATACAGGTTAAGGAAAAAGAAAAAGAAAAAAGAAACCAGGGCATGCTGTATTACAGTGGGTTTTAGGCTTAAGGTATCCCTCCTTAGACTTGAGGGACCCCTTAGAAAGTGCCAGTTTTTAGTTGTGTCTCATTTTTTGACTATGGAAAAAGAGCAATTTTTCTGTTGTAAAGAACTCAATAAGACCATAATTGATCTGATTTTTTTTTTAACACTATGGATTTTTATTGGAAATTATTGAGTTTATCTTGTAAATCATGATTGCACACCTAATGGTGCTAGCATTGCATGGCATCTTGCAGTACCCCTGAAAGGATCTCAAGGCACTAGCACTGTGCGAAACAGCACCATTTCATTTCGATTTCCATTTCAATGGGACAGTGTTTCGAAACCACTGTTTCGTTTTGTCCAAACTGTTTCGACGTTTTGTCCATAGGCTATAATGGGGTAGCATGAAACTGCCTATAACTTTGTCAGTTCTTGCCCGATTTGGATGAAACTTGCAGGGATGGTAGCCCATTTTGAGGCCATGATGTCTGCCAAGTTTCAAGGAAATAGGTGATGGGGTTTATGGGAAACCACACCCCAGGCTGCTGACAAGCAAAACTTGTGACACGGGTGACAGAAAGCAGACCAGTTAAAACAACGCTGCCTTTTATGCTGTTTTTCCATCCCTCCCCCAGAGCACTGGGATTGGAAGGGACCTCAGGGAAGGATCAGTCACTGGCCAGCTACACAGTCAATATGAGATTAATCCTTCCCTGCTCCCTCTCCTCACCTTGTTTCCCTCCAGGCAAGCCCAGCTTGAGCTTTGAAACTCGAAATGTTTTGAAACATTTTGAGGCGGTTTCAAAGCCCTTCATTTTGATTTCACTGTTTCGAGCTCAAAATAAGTTGAAACAGCATCGAAACGAAACAGCCGGCGAAATTTCGCACAGTCCTACAAGGCACCCCAGGGCGCCACAGCACCCTAGTTGAGAATCACTGCTCTATCATCTACTTTTGTTGAAACGTTTATTCACTACAGTACTAGAAGGTAGGGCAGGTGGCACCTTAGAGACTAACTCCTGCAGAAATACATAAGCTTTCATTGGCTCTCTCTACATGTTACATGTATTTACACAATTAACTTGTTAACTGTGCAATTTAGACTGTCTACACATGCAAATTAACTACCATGCCTTAAGAAGTTCCCACTAGTTATAAAGTTAGAGGAGGAAAATGTATACTAACTTTATAGCTGGTTTCTATCCAGCTTTAATTTGAACATGTAGCAGGGTCTATGCCCCTGCAGCTGGGAGCCCTGTCTATGCCCCCGCAGCTGTGGATGGGAGTCCTACAGCTGATAGGACTCCCAGCCGTGGCACAGTCCCATGGGCTG